GGAAGGGTCTTCCAGTCTGGAGTAAACTACATTATGTTTTGAATTGCAGAGTGTCTTAAGTTTTGTTGAGATACTTTCATCTTACTGAATCTGGTCGCAGAAGAGAAACCTCTGCCAAAGCGCCATGATGCTCTTAAACTCAGAGGATCCCCTGAAGATGACATCCACAAATGAAGGCAAAACGTCAGGAGAAAATGCTGCTAGAACACATTGGCCATACAGCTCAGAAACCGTAAACACTCCACCCTATTTTTTTTTTCCAGATGAAAACTGGGGGGTCTTTCACACTGCCTCTATATCCCACGATCTGATCCCAGATCATCTATTTATCTCGGGTTATCTGGCAGTGGACACTCATATATGCCATTTTAAAGGCGATAATCTAGGATCAGATCCTGGGATAAAGGGCAGTGTGGAAGGGCCCTGTGCCCCTCCTAAGACTTTTAATCACAACTGAATCCCTTCACTCTCCCCTGTGCTTGTCCCCCTAAAAAAAAAAAATCCTCACCATAAGCTCTTCATCCCACTCCATTCAGAACCATTCCTATTCCACTCATCTTCTCATTCCCACCACCTTATATCCACATAAACCCTAGATGAGTGGTTCTCAACCTGTGGGTCCCAGGTGTTTTGCCCTATAACTCCCAGAAATCCTAACAGTTGGTAAACTGGCTGGGATTTCTGGGAGTTGTAGGCCAAAAACATCTGGGGACCCCAGGTTAAGAACCACTGCCCTAGATGGTTCAGGTCCAGGCTATATGGCTGACTGCATCCCTAGGTGTCAGCAGTGGGAGGGCCTTTGCACAATTATTTTATTTATTTATTTATTTATTTATTTATGCCATTTATATGCCGCCCTTCTCACCCCAAAGGGGACTCAAAGCGGCTTATTATTGCCATAGCACAATATTAGTATACCATTATACTGCAATATTATTAGTAATATATAATACTTAAAACTTGTGCACCAACTGCGCCCATTCTTTGAGAAGCCAGATCTGGCCACGGTGGTCCATGCCTTAGTTACATCTTGTCTGGATTACTGTAATGCACTATAGGTGGGGCAGCCTCCGCATAGTTAAAGCAATGGTATTCCCTACGGATGTGAAAGCTGGACCACAAGGAAGGCTGAGCAAAGGAAGACAGATGCTTTTGAACTGTGGTGTTGGAGGAAAGTGCTGAGAATGCCTTGGACCGCAAGAAAATCCAACCAGTCCATATTTCAGGAAATAAAGCCCAACTGCTCATTGGAGGGAAGAATAGTAGAGGCAAAGATGAAGTACTTTTGGTACATCATGAGAAGAAAGGAAAGCTTAGCGAAGACAATTATGCTGGGGAAAATGGAAGGAAAAAGGAAGAGGGGCTGACCAAGGGCAAAATGGATGGATGGTATCCTTGAAGTGACTGGCTTGACCTTGAAGGAGCTGGGGGTGGTGACAACCAACAGGGACTGGTCCATGAAGTCACGAAGAGTCAGAAACGACTGAACGAATGAACAACAACATATTGTTGGCTCATGTTTAACTTGTTGTCCACGAGGACCCCAAGATCTTTTTCACATGTACTGTTCTCAAGCCATGCATCCCCCATGAACTTGCTCACCAAAAGGTTGTTGGTTCAAATTCGGGGAGCAGGGGGTTTTTTTTGTTTGTTTGTTTTGTTTTGTTTTTTGTCGTGTCAGGAGCAACCGCTCCTGTTGTGAGAGAATTGGCCGTCTGCAAGGACGTTGCCCAGGGGACGCCCAGATGATTTGATGTTTTATCATCCTTGTGGTAGGCTTCTCTCATGTCCCCGCATGAGGAGCTGGAGCTGATAGAGGGAGCTCATCCGCCTCTCCCCGGATTCGAACCTGCGACCTGTCGGTCTTCAGTCCTGTTGGCACAGGGCTTTAACCCACTACGCCACCAGGAGCAGGGTAAGCTCCTATTGTTAGCCCCAGCTTCTCCCAACCTAGCAGCATGAAAACATGCAAATGTATGTAGATCAATTGGTACCGCTTTGGCGGGAAGGCAACGGCGCTCCATTCAGTCATGCCGACTACATGACCTAGCAGGTATCTACGGACAACACCAGCTCAACCCAAACATCATTATTACTAGTCTCGCTGCATTTCCCCTCATCCCCAATCCATTGGCTCTCCTCCCCTCCCTCCCAGTACACACCACTCACCCTCAACTCCTAATTTCAACTCCATTTACTTGCATGGCTACTCCATTCCCAGTCCATTGACCCTCCTCTCATTCCCACTCTATTCCATTCCTCATCCCATCTGACTCATCTTCACTCCATCTGACCCTCTTCCACACTGCCAAAGTGGAGTATCTTGCATTTGTCCCTGTTGAACTTCATTTTGTTAATTTTGGCCCATCTCTCTAATCTGTCAAAGGAGGATGGAAATTTATTTCTTTTTTTCATTTATTTATACCCCGCTTTAAACTCTCCTATACAGAGACTCAAACGGCCCACACTCAAAAGCATTACAACTTAGAATATGCAAATAAAATATGCAACAATAAAACAGTATATCCTTATATCTATCTATATATATATGCACTCTGTTCGTTTTGAATGACATCATAACTCAAAATCTCCTGGATGAATTGCCGCCAAATTTGGCCACAAGACACCTACTAACCCAAGGAGTGGCCATCACTCAAAAAAATTGATTTTGTCATTTGGAGTTGTAGTTGCTGGGATTTATGGTTCACCTACAATCAAAGAGCATTCTGAACTCCACCAAGGATGGAAATTGAACCAAACTTGGCACACAGAACTCCCATGACCAACAGAAAATACTGGAAGGGTTTTGGTGGGCATTGACCTTGAGTTTTGGAGTTGTAGTTCACCTACATCCAGAGAGCACTGTGGACTCAAACAATGATGGATCTGGACCAAACTTGGCATGAATACTCAATATGCCCAAATATGAACATAGAAGGAGTTTGGGGAAAATAGAACTTGTCATTTGGGAGTTGTAGTTCCTGGGATTTTGCTACTATTATGAATCGTAATGTAAATATCTGATATGCAGTGTATTTTCATTCACCGGATCAAGTTTGGCACAAATACCTGATACGCCCAAATTTGAATACTGGTGGGGTTGGGGGGTGATTTTGTTATTTGGGAGTTGTAGTTGCTGGGATTTATAGTTAACCTACAATCAAAGAGCATTCTGAACTCCACCAAGGATGGAATTGAACCAGACATGGCACACAGGACTCCCATCACCAACAGAAAATACTGGAAGGGTTTGGGTGGGCATTGACCTTGAGTTTTGGAGTTGTACTTCACCTACATCCAGAGAGAGTCAAACAATGATGGATCTGGACCAAACTTGGCATGAATACTCAATATGCCCAAATACGAACATAGGCGGAGTTTGGGGAAAATAGAACTTGTCATTTGGGAGTTGTAGTTACTGGGATTTATCATTCACCTACAATCAAAGAGCATTCTGAACTCCACCAAGGATGGAATTGAACCAGACACGGCACACAGGACTCCCATCACCAACAGAAAATACTGGAAGGGTTTGGTGGGCATTGACCTTGAGTTTTGGAGTCGTAGTTCACCTCATAGAATCATAGAATCAAAGAGTTGGAAGAGACCTCATGGGCCATCCAGTCCAACCCCCTGCCAAGAAGCAGGAACATTGCATTCAAATCACCCCTGACAGATGGCCATCCAGCCTCTGTTTAAAAGCTTCCAAAGAAGGAGCCTCCACCACACTCCGGGGCAGAGAGTTCCACTGCTGAACGGCTCTCACAGTCAGGAAGTTCTTCCTCATGTTCAGATGGAATCTCCTCTCTTGTAGTTTGAAGCCATTGCTCCGCGTCCTAGTCTCCAGGGAAGCAGAGAACAAGCTTGTTCCCTCCTCCCTGTGGCTTCCTCTCACATATTTATACATGGCTATCATATCTCCTCTCAGCCTTCTCTTCTTCAGGCTAAACATGCCCAGCTCCTTAAGCCGCTCCTCATAGGGCTTGTTCTCCAGACCCTTGATCATTTTAGTCGCCCTCCTCTGGACACATTCCAGCTTGTCAATATCTCTTGCCATGCCTCAGCCGCTCCTCTGAAGTGAATTTGCTTTGTTTCCCCATAGTTTGAAATAGCTAAAGATTTATACATATTTATACATGGCTAATTGACTGGTTGCCCTGACACGACAAATAAAAACCATCCTTCTGAAGGACAGGAGGGAGGGGGCCGATCTGATCTCACCAGGAAGGGAGTTCCATATGCAGGGGGGCAATCACCGAGAAGGCCCTGTCTCTCGTCCTTACCAATCTCGCCTGTGACAATGGTGGGATGGAGAGTGGGGTCTCCCCGGAGAATCTTAATCTCCGATGGTTCATAGGGGGAGATGGAAGTTCTTCCTCATGTTCAGATGGAATCTCCTCTCTTGTAGTCTGAATCCATTGCTCCGCATCCTAGTCTCCAGGGAAGCAGTAAACAAGCTTGCTCCCTCCTCCCTGTGGCTTCCTCTCACATATTTATACATGGCTAATTGACTGATTGCCCTGACACGACAAATAAAAACCATCCTTCTGAAGGACAGGAGGGAGGGGGCCGATCTGATCTCACCAGGAAGGGAGTTCCATATGCAGGGGGGCAATCACCGAGAAGGCCCTGTCTCTCGTCCTTACCAATCTCGCCTGTGACAATGGTGGGATGGAGAGTGGGGTCTCCCCGGAGAATCTTAATCTCAGCAATGGTTCACAGGGGGAGATGCGTTCGAACAGGTAAATCTCACTGCATTTCCCCTCATCCCCACTCATTGGCTCTCCTCCCAGTGCATACCACTCACCCTCACCTCCTAATTTGACCTCCACTTACTTGCATGGCTACTCCATTCCATTCCAGTCCATTGACCCTCATCTCATTCCCACTCATTCCCATCTGACTCATCTTCACTCCATTTGACCCTCTTCCACACTGCACTCAATAGGGGAGGCACACAAGGGTCTCTCTCTCTCTGCTTCTCTCTCTCTCTCTCTCACCAGGTAGAGGGTGCCGTAGATGCGGAGCGACTCTGCCAGGGCCCCTTGGGTGATGTGCACGAAGGCCCTCCCGCAGTCCGGGTGCCAGGTGTGCCCGATCTCGTAGCAGCTGTGGGGGATGGATTTGCTCAGCGCCGCCATCTTGGGTATTATTTTGAAAAGGGGAGGGGGGACTTCAGAAGGAGAGAAAACAAGAGCGCGCGCCGCCGCCAATGGAGGAGAAAGGTCGCGCGGGGCGGCTCGAGCCGCCGGGGTTACTCTCGGTCAGCCTCTCTCACCCCCCCTCCATCTCCGCTCGCGTGAGGCGGCTCAACCAATCACGAAGCGGCTCTTATTCCTCGCCGAGTCATGGAAGGGACAGAGTGGGTGGGTGGTTTGGAGCGAGGGGGCGGAGTCGGCGGGAGTGCTTCTCCTCCTCCTCCTCCTCCTCTCCTTTGAACCATCCAGACTGTCAATCAAAGAGGATGGAACTCTTCTCCTGCTCCTCCTCCGCCTCCTCCCTCTCCTTTCACGCTGTCAATCAAGGAAGATGGAACTTTATTTATTTTTTTAAATTTATTTATACCTCGCTTTAAACTCTCCAAAGCGGCCCACAGTCAAAAACATTACAGCTTAGAATATGCAAATAAAATATGCAACAATATTATAATAATAACAAAATAACTAATAATAATAATAATAAATGCAACAATTAAACAGTATGTCCTTAGGGTTGTTGTAGGTTTTTCCGGGCTATATGGCCATGTTCTGGAGGCAATTTTTCTCCTGACGTTTTGCCTGCATCTATGGCAAGCATCCTCAGAGGTAAAGAGGTCTGTTGGAAGTAGGAAAAATGGGTTTATATATCTGTGGAATGACCAGGGTGGGACAAAGGACTCTTGTCTGCTGGAGCTAGGTGTGAATGTTTCAACTGACCACCTTCATTAGCATTTGAAGGCCTGGCTGAGCCTGGGAAAATCTTTTGTTGAGAGGTGTTAAGCTCTCAACGTAAATGCTACGTTCAGCAAAGGACAAGAGGGATCCTCTCACCTCTGCAGGAGTCTACTGTATACCATGCAGCTGTGGACAAGTCTACATAGGGACCACCAAACGCAGCGCCCAAACATGAATCAAGAAACATGAAAGGCACTGCAGACTACTTCAACCAGAGAAGTCAGCCATAGCAGAGCACCTGATGAACCAGCCTGGACACAGCATATTATTTGAGAACACAGAAGTGCTGGACCACTCTCACAACCACGTCAGACTACACAGAGAAGCCATTGAAATCCACAAGCATGTGGACAATTTCAACAGTAAGGAGGAAACCACGAAGATGAACAAAATCTGGCTACCAGTATTAAAAAAACTCAAAAATCACAACAGCAAAACAACAGAAGAGAAACAAACAGGCACATAAAATCACTCTCAACAAGAGATTCCCCCCAGGCGCTTCCAGGCCATTGAATGCAA